ATATTTGTTACGAAGTGGCAGGGAAGATGAGATGCAAGGATCCAAGTGCAGCATTGTGAATTTATTCAAAAACATCCAAACACGGAGAAAGGAACAAAATCGAAACATGGAATCGAAACAAGAATCAGACAGGGAGCGAGAAAGCAACAGAAATTGCTTTTTAAGGACTACAACAAACCGCTGGTAGGGATTACAATGAGCTTCTTCACAGATTAGTGACATCACTAACCCTAAAATGTACATAAACCCATGTCCCCTCTGTGCCGGGAGCAGCAGCTCATTTGCATTTAAATGGACACACAAAAAAACAGCAGGTTTTTGCTCAAATTTTAAATTGACTTTCTTTTAAACAAAAATATTTTTGTGCTATTTTGATCTACAACTTTACACACACCATTGGGACATCAGAGACTTATTTTACACTTGTGAAAAGGCCATTATAGGAGCCCTTTAAAGTGCATTTTTCTTTTTGGATTTTTTTCAGTGTGAACACTATACATACTTAAAGGGATTTTTTTCTTTGCATGATTGTGTTTATGGGGTGCAATATAACATGTATTCGTGATTTTCTTTTTTAAAGTCTTATTTTTCATTAATTTCACCTTTATTGTAAGCCGCTTTCTCCTCTGTCATTTGAACGAGCGGTTGACTTCCTGATTCTATGAAACCACTCTCTCAGAAACAGACAGAGGTCTCAGATTGGTTAGTTTGGGCTGGTGTGTTGTGACTGGCTAAACTGTCATTCACGTTGTCCAGAAAATTCACGCCCATTACCTTTACGGGCGATCGTGCCTGCGCTCCGGTCCAGATGTAAATAATGGTGTCGAACTGCAGTATCAGTTTGAGGCAGAATCAGACCCAGAAAGGGGCGATTGAAGAGAGGCAAGCAGAACCTCACCACACACGGTTCTTAAAAAACATTTCTGAATGGTAATTTGCCTATATTTTTTATAACTTTATACACGTTTGTTTTACACAATAGCATGGCTACTATTTACACAAACAGCGTTGGCATTGGTTTACATTCTTGATCAAATCGAAAAATAACATCATAAAGTACACATGAAAAATACCTTTACAACATTAGTACTTCTACAAAATTCAGGTCCATATTGTTTGTACGCGTTTGTCGTAGACACAAAATAGCATAACTAGTAGCCTAGTGGCTATAAAGCCAGCGCTGGCATTTGATAAACTAAAATATTACGTATAAAATTATACATGCAAATACATTTAAAATGATTTGTCTTAGCCTACTTACAGGTTGTGGCCCAACAACTGCTGCCTCTGATTTTAAAGTTGGAACTGCTTCATGTTTTAGTAACAGTTTCTTGTTGAATCCGGCATTGAATTCGTGGAGATTCTGGAAGCTGTTTTTCTTAAAATGCGCTGCACAGAGAGCTATGTCATTTTCAGGAACATAATCAAACATAAATTGTATCCATTGCTGACGAACTACAATGTCCGTGGGAACCCCGAACACAGAAGACCTGACAGCAGGGTGAACAGAACACACTTTCGACGAGCCGCAGAAATATGGCCATGCCCTTATTTGCATATTCTGGAGGGAGGGTTGATGCAAATGTATGGATTAGTGACGTCTAAAACCCGTTGTAGTCCCATTCGAGACTTTTTGTAGGCAATACTGCCCTACAAAGCAAAAAGGCAGTATCTACGCAGAGTGCAGAGCTGAGAAAAATGACTTTTGCTAGGGCTTTTTGCAGTTACTGTACAAACGACTACCATTTTTCACTAAAACGACATGCATTTAAGATAAGATGTTTTGTCATATAACAAAGGTTGGCTTGAATGTCATGAAAATTGTAATAATTAATGCTTTACCAAAACTGCAGTTACTGCCTTTTTGCTTTGTAGGGCAGAATATACTTCCTGATTTTTAAAAGACGATATCTCTGCTTACATTGAACTTTCAGCGCTGCAACTTTTCAGATACTGTTCATGCACCAACAGCAACATTACACACTATTTAAAATGAAAAAAGTGAAATCGCAATCAACCAGCCCTTTAACAACGTCATAGAATAGTGATTAAGTAAGCGAATTGGGAAGTAAAACACTGGAACAAAGGGAACAACAAATTCAATTCAACATAAGAGAATGTCAAAAAAAGGGGAAAAAGGGGTGTCAGAGCAGCCCACTGAAGGTGAGTGGAATTGAACCCATGTGCCCCCCTAACATAACAGGAAAGTTCTATTATTTTACGTATGAACAAGAATACCATACTGTATACTAAAGGGACTTTTCAATAGATAAATCCTGCATCCCAATTCACCTACTTATACTAGTATATGCCCTAAAAGTATGTACTGTTTTTGTGAAGAAAAAGTACATTCTTTTGAGTGTGTAGTAGAGTAGGCAAGCTTTGGGACATACTACGTCATAATTATGTTTTTAATGGGCCGCTCTGTCTCTTAGTTACTTGCATACTGCCACAGTTTAAACTGCCCTGTCAATCATCTTGTCAGTTAAAATTCTCCACATTCAATTTAATTTAATTTCCTTCCGTTTCGGAGAGAAATTTAGTAGCACACTGATCTGCCAGTTGTGGATCTTTCATGTGGAGAACTCTCCTCATGTGTTTGCAATTTGCATAATGATGTATTTAAAAGTTAATGACCAAAAGTATCATTAGAAAAGTTCACAATGCTGTTGATCAAATATAATGTGGATAACATTGAATAAATACGTTTTCGTCAGGTTAGATACTAGGGGTGTAACGATACCTTCATGTCACAATTTGCTACATGTAACGATACTGAACTCATGAATACGATATTATTGCGATACTCCAAGACATATGATAAAAGGTTAACAAAAAATGTACTGTTAATTAAAGTGCTAAATTTGGTATTACATTTGGGTGTAAATGAATAGGCTTGGACTTGGTGCTGGTAATCCAATGTACAGGACAATAGAGACACCAGAATAAAAATATTCATGATTCTGAAGCTGAAAATACAGAATTATTTTAGACAAATATGCTTGCACTCTATTGACTAGGTATATTTAAATGTTAATTGACTAGACATATTTAAAGTAATGTAGGCCACTTTTTACTGGTAACATAAGACATTTAGCATTATCAGAACCCACAAATATAGCCCCATTTCATTATTATACATTTTATTCAACATTATATATAGTAGTTTAATGTAGTACTGACACTAAATCTCTAAAAACATTTTTTCTCACACAGTAACTTTTATTTTGGGTGGACTATCCACGACCCCTATTAGAAACTGATAATAATTATTGGTACTTTCCTGTTATCCGGACCCAACGATGGCCTACCCCTAACCCCGCCCCTAAACCTACTCGTCACTGGGGTTAAGACCAATCAGGGACGATGGCCTACCCCTAACCCCGCCCCATAAACCTCCACGTCACTGGAGTTAAGACCAATCAGGGATGACTATAGTTCCAAAATGTTATATGGTGGGGTCCGGATAACAGGATAGTACCTTATTATTAATTAACTCAAACCCCTATTATCTAAACCCCTCTACTTAAAGGGTTAGTTCACCCAAAAATGAAAATTAAGTCATTAATTACTCACCCCCATGCTGTACCAACCCCGTAAGACATTCGTTCATCTTCGGAACACAAATAAAGATATTTTTGATTGAATCTGAGGGCTGGATCACTTTTCCATAGACAGCCTGAGGGACTGCCTCTTGACGGCCCAGAAAGTCATTAAAAGAAAAGGTTTAAATATTCCATGTGCCTAGAGTGGCTCAACTATAACTTTATCAAGCGACGAGACTACTTTTTGTGCGAAAAAAAAACGTAAATAACGACTTTATTCGACTTTCCATTACTTCCTTATGGGCGCATGCGCGAGAACTGAGACGAGACCGTTCTTCTTCGACTACTTTTTGTTACCGGCTGCTGACCGCTTAGGAGTATTACCGCCCCCTACCGTATAAGATGACGTACTGCTTGTAAACAGAACGTTTTGCGCCTCCGGCTATATCAGTACGTCATCTTATACGGTAGGGGGCGGTAAAACTCCTAAGCGGTGAGCAGCCGGTAACAAAAAGTAGTCGAAGAAGAACGGTCTCGTCTCAGTTCTCGCGCATGCGCCCATAAGGAAGTAATGGAAAGTCGAATAAAGTCGTTTTTTACGTTTTTTTTCCGCACAAAAAGTAGTCTCGTCGCTTGATAAAGTTATAGTTGAGCCACTGTAGGCACATGGAATATTTAAACCTTTTCTTTTAATGACTTTCTGGGCCGTCAAGAGGCAGTCCCTCAGGCTGTCTATGGAAAAGTGATCCAGCCCTCAGATTCAATCAAAAATATCTTTATTTGTGTTCCGAAGATGAACGAATGTCTTACGGGGTTGGTACAGCATGGGGGTGAGTAATTAATGACTTAATTTTCATTTTTGGGTGAACTAACCCTTTAAAGGGTTAGTTCACCCAAAAATGAAAATTCTGTCATTATTTACTCACCCTCATGTTGTTCCAACCCTCTATGTGTTTATTTGTTCTGCTGAACACAAAGGAAGATATTTGGAAGAATGTTTTAATCAAACAGATCTCATTCCCCATTGACTACCATATATGCTAGTCAATGGGGAATGAGATCTGTTTGATTAAAACATTCTTCCAAATATCTTCCTTTGTGTATAGCAGAACAAATAAACACATAGAGGGTTGGAACAACATGAGGGTGAGTAAATACTGACAGAATTTTCATTTTTGGGTGAACTAACCCTTTAACCGTCGACGTACACATCCGCCATGTTTGTAGTTCGAATCGAATCCTCATCCTATGCGCAATGTTTTGTATTATTGTCCATGGATCTGGACTGATTCTAACCGGAAAAAGTAGACCATCTGGGAATATTTGGAATACTCATTTCAACATACAACAATTTGGGACACACTGACTCTCATTTCAAATACTATTTAGGACGGTTAGTATGCGAAATGGGAAACAATGATAGTGTTTGTAGCTATAGAAAATGGGTATGTGTACCTTCCTTTCCTAACAGGAAGTCAAGGAAGTGGTATGTATAGGACACTCCTGAGTGGGTCTCCACTTGTGTTCTTCTGAGGGTGGAGAAAATCTTTCCCGGAGCTTCATCTGACCCTCGGGGTTTCGGCAACTTACAGCCCATGTCTGCGCACGTGGAGAAAAACAAAGAGAGAGAGAGAAAATGAGATAGATGAATATGGATAATTTGTCTGAAATATTCATGTATTCATAACTAGTTTATTGATTTAACTGATTGACTTGGCAGCAGTCCCTAATTGTCATGCTAATTAAGTCAGATTGACAGTGAAATAGGAACTGAGCACGTGCAAAACAGGGGAGAGGGCATATCGGCATGTCTTTAAACATAACCACAAACATTCAGATACACGCACGCGTGCACAAGCAAAGATTTGTCACACGGTAACATAACATGAAGTCTAATTGGAAAGCTAATCAACCTTCAGGCATCAACCTTTAACACAAACACGCGTTCGCTGTATCAAGCACAATGCCCCCCTTCAAAACGCACACACTGTCTCCTTGGCTACTAGAAGCAGCAGCAATCAGATAACGCTCATATTTGATCTGTGACTACACAACCAATCAAACAGTGGAATGTGTGGCCGATGAATTAGCGTGTGGCTAATGCTAATAAGTGTCACATCTAGAATGCGCTAACTTGATGTGACAGCAAAGGCACGCCACGTGGGCCCAGGCCTCCAGCGCTAACACACACCATCAGGTACGGGTAGTTAGCTGCCAGCATTTCCATGTCAGCATTTGATGAGCCAGAACAGGTGAAACCGAGAGGAACCGGACAAGCCCAGTGGCCATGACAACAAACATTAACTGCGCAATGATGATGGGATGGGGAGCAATGGATGGATGGTTTTGTGGATCAGGAACGGGGTGATGTATATCAGTAGACCAGGATAGACACTTAAAGGAGTAGTTCACTTTTAAAAAAAACTTTTGCTGATTATTTACTCACCCACATGTCATCCAAGATGTCCATGTCTCTCTTTCTTCAGTCGAAAAGAAATTAAGGTTTTTGATGAAAACATTCCAGGATTTTTCTCCATATAATGCACTTAACTGGTAACCAAACGGCTCAAGGTTCAAAGGGCTTATAACGATTTCAGACGATGAATAAGGGTCTTATCAAGCGGAACGATCGCTCATTTAATAAATAAATAACAAAGTTTAAATTTTATAAGCTCAAATGGTCGCCTTGCTCTGTTCTGTAATGCGCGTTCGTTCGTCCTGTTCGAACTCGTTCATCAAAATCAACAAATCTTTTTCCGAGTCAATTCGTTCATTTCGTTCGTTGAATGAACCAAATGACACGAAAAAAAATGTGTTCATTTTGATGAACAGTTTGAACAGGAGAGTCACAGAACAGAGTAAGGCGACCATAATATTTATTTATTAAATGAGCGATCGTTTCGCTTAATAAGACACTCATCATTCATCAACATTCATCGTCTGGAATCGTTTAAAGCCCTTTGAACAGTTTGCAGTTTGTACTGAATGTGTCTTTTGGACCTTGAACCATTTGGTTACCACTAAAGTGCATTATATGGAGAAAAATGCTGGAATGTTTTCATCAAAAACTTTAATTTCTTTTCGACTGAAGAAAGAATGACATGGGCATCTTGGATGACATGGGGTTGAGTAAATTATCAGCAAAAGTTTTTTCAAAAGTGAACTACTCCTTTAAAAACAGTAATGTGCCTTTCCATGTTACAGCAACAGAATCAGAATACACCATAGTACTGCTCAAGAAACATTCCCTATTATTATTATCAATGTGGAAAACAGTTGTAGTGCTTAACATTATTGTTAAAAACGTGAATTTTGATGAATAGAAAGTTCAAAAGAGCACCACTGATTTGAAACAGGAATCTTTAGTAACATCATAAATGCTATTGTCACATTTGAGAAATTGAAGAATCATTGTGGAATGAAAAGTATTAAATTTCTCAAATAAAATAAATAAATAACCAAATACTGAGACAGAATTAGATTTTTAGTTGTTTGAACATATTTAAATCCTAATATTGTTTTATTTTACATAATTTTAAGTCATCTTGAGGACCCCTAGTGGGTCCCAGCTAGTATACGGGAGGTTCCAAGCTGCAAAAATAGCACTGACTTCCAGAAATCAATGAGAAACATAATGAGGAAAATGTAAGCTAATATCTCTGCTCTGATGTAGAAATTTATATTTACAGAACATCTCTCAATTGTTCTTTTTTATTTTGGAGCATTCTCACTTTGAATTTCCTTTGTTCTTTTAGAATTGATTTTTTGATCACCTCAGGCGTGATTGTGGCTGGTTATCTGCTCAAGTCAAATACTTCTGTAATCTGTTTAATCTCTGTTTTATCTCTTTTATTCCACAAAATGGTGGAGACTTCATTGAAATGATTTGAAACAATACGCTACTTTAATATTAGTCATTCAGAAGAAATGAGTAATTTATATTTAAACAGAGAATATACACAGGAAAGTGCTAAGTACATAATGGTCTGAGTCGTTACGTCACACATTATAAGTTTGAATTGCAAGTAGGTGTGAATCACAAAGATTTACTGAGACAATTTGCTTTTATTATGAATCCGACAGCTGGAATATAAATGACTAATTCATGGGAGATATACGGACCTTCACACCTGTGCTGTGTGAAGTTAATACTGGCAGTCAAGCATCCGGTTCCACTCATTTCCCTTCACTAGCCTGACAATCACATCATTACTGATGCTAATCGCTCAGCAACAGACCGACAGATCATCAGTTTGCTCACAGTTACTGAGACAACATTTGGAGAGCTATTAGAGCAGAAAAAGAAACCACAGTTTCTTAATCTCAGCTGAATTTGCAATACCATCAAGGGACCAGCAAACGCAAGCTTTGACATAAACACAAATGCTGCTATGAGCACATAAGCCTCAGTGAGGGGATAGTTGCTCCCTCATCGAGCACAAAAATGACAGCACAGCAATGTTGGCATGATACTTAGCCCTTTCCATTTGGGATATATCGGTGCCATTATATGGAAGCTTGTTTCTGGCATGGAATAAAAATTAAAACGGCAATTGTGACTTTTTATCTCAAACTTTTTTTCTTGCAATTGCGAGTCTATATCTCGCAGTTCAAACTTTATAACTCACAACTGCGAGTTTATATTTGTATATTTTGAAATTCTGACACTCTTGAATTGTAGGATAAAAGGTAGCAAGTACCTTTTAATTGCAAGTTCTTGTTTCACAAATCTTACAATTTCTTACAATTGTTATTTTGTTAAAATTCTGAGAAATTAAGTAAGAATTGCAAAATATAAACTCACAATTCTGACTTTTTCACAATGTGGAGTTTATAACTTGTAGTTGTGAGTTTATTCTAAAGCCAGACCGATATATCGGCAGGCCGATATTATCGGCCGATATTAGGCATTTTCCAGGCAACTATCGGTATCGGCAGTTATAATGGCCGATAAATTAATATTTCAAAAATAAAATAAAAACAGACGAAACACGATTGAACCATGTCATGAGTTTATTATTTGATGAACTCAAATAAGCATGACAAAATTTGTGACTATCATGTCCAGTTTTGATGCTGTTAAATAAGTGGAATTAGCTAGTAATAGTTACGTTACGTTACGTTGTTACAGACTAGTTGACTGGCTATCCTTTTAACTTTTAACAATGTGACTGAAGTATTTTTTTAATAGTGCGTGACAGTTATAGCAATGAGACGTATCATCTCTCCTTGGCCTGTTATATTGAAAATGTATACAATTTGCAGTATGACGTTATCCATTGCTAAATTATGGCTCATCATAGACTAGCTAACCACAAAGCTAGCTAATGCCACTATCATCAGTCTGTTCTGTTGTGACAATAAAAGAAACAAGTTTCTTTTTAAAATGCATTATCATATTATTTTAGTTAAAACTCAGAAATAACTACAAATAACTAATGTTAGGGAAATCTGTTAATGTTTTTTGCGCATTTCTGAAATTAAAAAATATATATATATTAGGGGTGTAACGGTACACAAAAATCACGGTTCGGTACGTACCTCGGTTTTAAAGTCACGGTTCGGTACGTTTTCGATACAGCAAAAAGAAAGAAATGCCAGAGAAATTTCCTATTTGTTTAAAGAAAAAAATATTTTTAAATAAGTGTGAGTTTTCCTAGATCTTGAAACTTTCAGGTTTATAAATAGGGGTCATCTTTGAAGGATGAACAAATAATGTTTTGGTCATCACACACACAAAAAAGGTACAAAAGTTGTCACTGGGGTAAACTTTTGTCCATTTCATTAGCTAATAAGTACATTTAGGTGTTAATATGTACATTTTGGGTGTTAATATGTACATTTTAAGTGTCAATATGTACATTTAAGTGTTAATATGTACATTTTAGGTGCTAATATGTCCATTTCAGGAGGTAATATGTCAATTTCATGAGCTAATATGTCCATTTTAGGTGGTAATATGTACATTTGAGGTACTAATATGTACATTTTAGGTGCTAATATGTCAATTTCATGAGCTAATATGTCCTTTTCAGGTGGTAATATGTCCATTTTAGGTGCTAATATGTACCACTAAGGTACCAATATGCAGCCTTTGGGTACAAAAGTGTACCTTCTGAAAAGGTACAGCCCCAGTGACAGCTTTTGTACCTTTTTTTCTGAGAGTGCATTAAAAATAACATTTAAATATATATTTATTTATATAATATTTGAATTTTGAAGTGCTGGAAAAAGATGTGTGAAGTACTTGAAAGCATTTCACCATTCCAGCCAAACTGGTTCCAGTTAGTGTTACTATATTAAATCCATGGTGAATGTTGCTGGTCTGTGGACGAAAGTATTACTAGTTCATTCACGGCACAATGTTTCTCCTGGTTTCCATGACAGCGCTGTTTGATCTAATAGAGATCTACGGTAAATAACGGAGAAATGTGAATGCTTCTCACTGACTAGATCTCGCAGCGATGTTATTACCTCAGTGGCGAATTCAAATGTTTTCTTTACCGGATCTCTTAGCGCGGTGTGGTAACAGTGTTGCTTGATCGAGATCGGCTCGCGCTGCACAGATGTTGCTGGTTCGAACTGATAAACGATCCGTG